GAGTTAGACCTAAAAATGTGCACTATAAAAGTTTCTTCTTTTTTTCTCCCTTAAACAATGTTCACCTAGTTCACGATACTTACTTCAACAATAAAATCATTGAAATGAGGCGGGACATTTGGGTCCCGCCTCAACCTCACCAAGGAAGAACTTTCGCCCCTTYGGGTCTCAGGTAAGTRCTGAAGGAGAGACGATTATTGTCAGGAGCTGATTAAAACATTGTTTAAATTATAACAATTTTTTGTACCTAATTTGTTATGGCTGGAYGCAACAACAACSGAAAGAAGAATACTGGACTCTTAACTGTTGCAGAGATCGTYGAAGAGAAAAAAAGTCACAAGATCTATCAAATAATTTTGTATATTGTCACGAGCAAAAATGCCTTTTTTGTTTAGTTTCGCAAAATTTCCATAAAATTAATGCATCATATATCTTCTCGATGTTCTTCTGACGATTAAAACTACAAAATTTTCCGGGGGAGCATGCCCCCGGACCTCCCTAAAAAAACCGCGCCATCGCGGCGCTCACCGGCGCCTCCACATATTTRCATATCTGCAGTTTCTCACCGTTGAGATTGACAGCCTACACTAATATTGGGATGATCATAGACTGATGATAAGAAAGACTTGCGTACGGCTATTTCTTATACATACCATGTAAATTCACTGGTACGCCGACCAGTGGATGTTGCGTATTTCTTCAAGGGTTGAGAACCCGCCATTGCTTGTATTCTAAAAAATAGACAATAAACCTAAATCAGTTGACTGACATAATTTTTGTTTATCTGTTAGTCTTTTTGACAAAATGGTTTTAAACGACTACCCAATCTTGTTTTTCACAAGTCAACTTTATCCATCATGAAAACGTTAAGGCTAGGTAACATAATGAGCTACGAGCTTACTCTTACAACTAGTACTTTAACAATAATTAGGCACAATATATAAGTTACTTACTGATCCGAATAGGGCCGATATGGCCCAGTTGTCCAGATGGACTGAGCACACTGCTTGCATCTACAAGGTAAAGGCAATAATTTAATTTTTTTTGATGCGAGGCATACATGTGCATTCCAGGGAACAACACTCAGGCGAAAATAAATTGAATCTTGATATTGATTTTGCAAGTACTTACATTAATGTCCAGTAATCAGTAAATTGTCTTCAATAAAGGAGGTGCTACTCACTAACAGCAATCTATCTACTAACAGACAACCTTCTTCAATGAGCATGCGCTTTTATACTGCTTCGAGTGAAGGCGTGGAAAATGCCTAATGTCAAAATCATTTCAAATTGCTAAACATTCTATTTTTATCTTTCCGATGTCATCGTATTGCTGGCCTGAGTTTTTTATCTCATGATGCATTAACATAGTGGTTGGTTAAACTATCGACCTAAAATAGAAGACTACTTGATATAGAATAAACTCATAGTATTGATACTGGACTGTACAAATGGNAACAGAATGGTGTTGGAAAATAATAGTTACTTTTACCTCACTCAAGCTAAAAATTTCTCTTGAGCAGTTGATGTTATAATCGTCATCATCATCATCGGTCTCATCATCGGATGATATCATTTGCCTTGATCCTGTCAAAGTCAGTTCAAGATTTAATAACAGGGAGAAAGAGCAAACAATTAAACGAGCACTTTATTTTGAGATGCAACGGAGAACTAGTCACAGAAAGATTACGACTGAAAATTATAGAGTTAGATGTTATCTTTGGACTAGTTTTAAACAATGAAAACTACCTTGCTTGGTGTAGACAGACAGATATAAACTTTAGTCAATCATACAGATTTCGCTGAGCTTGTTGGTCTTCTTACCCTGGTCCCAGAGGTTTTCTTTTCTCTTCTTTTCTAGATGTTTTTTATCGTATTTTTGTCTTTGTTTTTTATATTTAACGTCGCAAGAAGAAAACCTCTGGTCGGGACCGTTGAGAATCTCACTTTCATGCCACCAGCTTCGGATGACAGCTGTCAAATATGTCATTTTTTGCCATCCAATCAGAAGAAAGGATAAAATTAAACATTTGTTCGAGGGAGGGGTGGTATATGCTTTAGCGAATAACATCGAAACTGACTCACTAGGGATAGCACAGTAAAAGTTTGTATATGTGAGAATATTTACAAGCTGTCAAAACATACGATTTCACGTGGAACACAATAACCAAATGCAAAGAGTTTTGAATCGAACTCCTAAGAAAACGCCTGTTAAAGTTTATAATCCTCGGCCGAACGACTATTGCAGAGTTTGTAAAGAAAATGTGAAGATCAATGGATGTTCTCAAGTAAATATATTCAGTGAGAAAAATCAGGATTTCCTTCGCCGCTTCAGAAATATTGTAGACGCAAAAGTCGAAGACATTAGCAAGATCTCTCAAGTTCTTTGCAAGAAGTGCTATAGAACAGTTTTAAAGCACGAAAAGTCACTAAGCCAAGCAAAAGAACTCCAAGAGTTTAGGAAAAAATACACAGAGGTACCGATCGATGTCGGTGAATTTCCGCGACAGAAGAGATGCGCGAGGTATTCCCCAAGCACAACGTCGCCGGGTACCGAAAAAACCTTCTCACGACCAGTTAGCAATCCAAAAAGCAAACGAAAGATTTTTTCATCTGCAGATAGAAATAATTCCTTAAGAGATGAACTTCTTTCGAAAACGCAAGAACGCAACACATCACCTACAGTGGTGAGAAAAAGTCCGACCTCAAAGCCAGTTTACAATGTAAAAAGCCAGTTTATCTTAAAAGTGTGTATTGAATATATTTCTTATTTCAGGTCTTTATATACTACCCGTCAGGTCTAGTACATAAAATAATCGATCGGGAAATAGATGCTACCATCGTAAGGCAAATCTATTCTAAAGAGTACAGCGGAGTGATAAATTCTATCTGGAAACATCCTGAACTCAAGAGTGGGGTACTTGAAAGGATACAGATTGAAATCGATAAAGAATCAAGTTCGTTGTGCAGCACTAACGTGCCATCAATTCTGAGGAAAACCAAACCAAAAGATTTGATAGAGTTTTCGGGGAAAAAATGCGAAGAGGAACTGAAAACAAGAGCTCCAATTCTTTATGGTTGTATGTATAGTGTTGCAAATGCATTTGAAAAGAAGAAAATAGACAAAAAATTTCAGAAGAAAATAGAAAATGACATCAACAAGCAGGGAGCACCAATATCTCTTGCAGCATCCATCCTCTTGAAGCAGAGATGCCCCCAGATGTCTGCCATTGCATACAGATTTGCACTCGGAGTGTTATGGCATAGTGGAGCCAAAAAACAGGTATGGAACAAACTTACTTATTTTTATGGGCTGAGTACATCCAGAATCTTGGACAGAGGCTACCTCGTAAGCAAGGTGCATTTACCTCTATCTCTTGGTACATAGCGAATATTAATTTTCATACTCCCCTTTATTACTATTTGTTTCGTGGGTTAACGGAAACCAAAAAACCAATTTAACATGTTGCACACTCAATTATAATCAAAATTCAAATCTAAAGTAATCATTGTTTTTTTTTTAGTCCAACCAGATTATTTTTGAATTTCTTGTGTCATAAGTCAATAACATTATTTTCTTTAAATGTCCAGGGATACTTACGAGCAAACCATTGGGGAGTGTCAGTAAGCCACACCAGTACATTGCAGAAACTGGATGAGATGGGGAGCAATTTTGATGATGATGTCAAGATGTGGAAAAGCAAACTTGTAAAGTACCATCTTATTAATGAAGTCCTGGAAAATGTGGATCAGTATGTAAATGCAAAGGAGAAAGAGCACATACCTGAAGGATTTCAAACAACTGATGTCAGCAGTCTATCCCTTTCCTTTCCAGAAGTACCTACAAATGATGAAGCAAGGATGTCCTGCAGTGATGAGATTTCAGAAAACCAGTCAACGGGTAGTGAGCTTCTAGATATGGAAGAGTTTCTGAATGACTAT